GTCTTCCGTGTGCATCCGTCCTCATTTGAAGAGGCGGTGAATGTGGCATTGAATGCCGGATTCAATTTCAAGTCGGTACGACTTGGTTGGAAGGCTTACTCTAGCAGCTCGTCGAGGGAGCCTATGCCCATGGATCTCAGCTATGCTGAGGACGAGGGAGCAGAGCTCCAAGCTGCCGGGCAGCATACACACACTCGACAGTTTTTGTCTGTGGAGACACCCGTCACCTTCGGAACGGTTGCCCCCTGTGCAGGGCGCGTCATGGTTCTTCGAAACATCGCTTCAACGCCTACCAGTCTGGTTCGTCGCGGGGAGACGACACACTCAGTAGGCGCGAGGCGACCTACTGGGGAAAAACTGAGGTCTGTTGAGCCTCAGGGAGCTCTTAAACACGGAAGGTGTGTGCAAGCCGGGCTTGCTGGCCGTGGAGGCGACCGTAAAGGGCTTCGAAAAACCATGGAAGATCCTCATCGATTCCGGGGCGTCGGGCAATTATGCTCGACGACGATAGAAGGAAGTCAGCTGTATGCTGAGGCGCTGGAAGCGCGGTTGGGTGACATCGTCACTATTCGCCTAGCGACGAGGACACGTGTTAGGGTTTAAAGGTGCCTGTGGACCTCGGAGTCAACTTTCTTTACTTTGATAGCGTGGAACGCTGTCTAGTCTTAGACTCGGATGCAAGGTATTACCTTATCCTAGGAATGGCATGGTTGGAACACCATGAGCCATGGATTGATTAGGGTAAAAGACCTTGGGCGCTACGCGCACGTCTCCTGGTGGAACTTTGGCGAGTCATGAACCCACCTCTGCTAGGACACAAAAGCGCCATTGGCGAGAGCACTGGATTGAGAAAGTCAACGTGCTGGACATTGGAATGTCCGAGTTGGTAGACACCAACGGTGCATTGGACAGGAGTCCCGAGCGTGGCTCGCGGGCTGATCGTTTAGTGGCATGTGACCCACTGAGCGATGCTCTAAAGCAGTCGCTACATGTCATGCGTGACATGGTCGGCCAAGGGCCGAGGCGTCAAGGGCGAGGACTCAGTGATGCACGTAAAGTGGCACGTACACCACTGAGCGCTGCTCGAGTATCAAAGCAGACGCTGCATGTCATGCGTGACATGGTCGGCCTAGGGCCGAGGCATCGAGGGCGAGGCCCTCGTGATTCGCGTTGAGTGGCACGAACACCACTGAGCACTGCTCTCATTGCGAAGCAGTCGCTGCAAGCCATTGATGGGGTGGTCGGACAGAGTCCGAGGCATCTTGGGCACGGCCCCTTCAGATGCGCGTGGAGTGGCACAATATCCACTGGACGAAGGCTGCTGGTTTAGCAGTTCTTCGTCGGATGTTGTAGATAGCATCAGAGCTCAAAAGGAGCGGAAAGTGAGGTGACACCGGACGACGCGGAGTGCGTGTTCACCCTGGTCTCATCGAGGCATGGAATCTCTGTACAGAGGCGATGGCGACGCCGTATGCTGGCTGCAAGACGCCGGGCGTCGACCCTGATCCAGGGTTTGTCTACGGTAGACGATGGTGCACAGTTATACACCCTCGTCAACGTTATGACGGGGGAGGAATATGGCGATGTCCGCATCGAGGATATACCTGCAGTAGATGCTCTTCTCGAGTTGGACGAGATGTCCTTTGAAGAGTTGGCAGTGCCTTGAAGGCAGGCGATTTGGCCGAAGTAGTCATGGTACGACCGGACGAGGAGATAAACTCGTCATCGCTTCTGGATGAATCTATCTTGGAAGACACCAAGAGAGTGCTGAACGCACGGAGTGGATCGTCGATCCTACGGAATCCCTTGAATCCGTGTAATCCTTTGGTAAAGTAATTTTAAGACGTCGTCTTCAAAGACTCGCCTTCAGTCCTACCTCT